ATTGAAAAAAGTAAACATTTTTTTAAAATATAAAATCATTCTTCATTTTAAACTAATACTACCATTATAACCATCATTTTACAATTTCTCTTAATGTATTTTCTAACATCTTCGATTAAACCTATAAACTAATATAGGATTTTCACCTGATTGGAAAAAAAGTAAACATATTTTTTAAATCAATAATTCATCCTTAGATATTTAATCTAAATTTTGCAAATTCCATAAATCATTATAACTATTATTTTACAATTTCTCTTAATGTATTTTTTAACATCTTTGATGAAATCTATAAACTAATGTAGGACTTCCACCTAATTGGAAAAAAAGTAAACATTTTTTAAATATAAAATCAATCTCTATTTTAAACTAATACTACCATTATAACCATAATTTTACAATCTCCCTTAATGTATTTTCTAATGTTTTCGATGAAACCTATAAACTAACGTAGGATTTCCACCTGTTTGGGAAAAAAGTAACCATTTTTTTAATATAAAATCAATTTCTATTTTAAACTAATACTACTATTATAACCATAATTTTACAATTTCCCTTAATGTATTTTCTAACGTCTTTGATGAAACCTATAAACTAATAAAGGATTTCTACCTGGTTGGAAAAGTAACTGTTAACTAGTTTTTAAATCTATAATTCATCCTTAGATATTTTCTTAAAATTAATCAAAATTTTGCAAATTTCATAAATCATTAGAAAAAGGGTATCGAGTCTAATATATTAGATTTATAATCTTTACAATATTTCTAATAATGTTGTATACCAACTTTATTTAAAACTTAGTTGATCTCCGTAAATATAATTTTGTTTATTATTTTTTAAAATAACTTTCTGTGATTAAATGATATTATCTAATTACATGTTTTTCTAACCATTAGATAGTAAGTATAAACTAATTTATAGATTGAAAACTTTATAATAAATTATTATTAAATAATAGTTTTATTAAATCACACCACTGGTATTAATATCAGTTCCTTAGCTTGGATAGTCTATTTTTGAATGGAAGCATTAGCAATCTGGCTTATGATAAGAGTATTAATATCTTGAAATCTATTAATTAAATTTGAGTTAAAATTAAGTGAAATAATGTAAATAAAAAATCTAGGTTCTAAATTGTTTTAGCATAAGGCATAATTCTTTTTATGCCTTCAAAAAGATTTTGGCAATAAAATTAATACACTTAGTATATTTATTGGAAATATGATAATTTTAATGTATCATCTTGCTTTGACATGTAATTTTGAATACGTATTATTAAAAATTTTATGTATATATATCGATATATACTAGTTGACTTATAATTTCTATTAATTTATTTAAATAATTTTTTCAGTAATTGAATTAATAAACTACTGTGCAGTGTTATTTGAGCTCAACTAAACTGCTGCACAGTATTCCTTGAATTTTTAGATGAATTTAACGATAGACCACTAAACTGTTACACATCATTATTAAATTCTGCATAGCATTCCTCGGTCTAACAGATAATGCATCAATTAATAAACATCAGTGGATCATCTTATAGCACAATTTCCTTCATAAGTTCTTACCTATCTAATGCTTTCAATGTTTGGTATACTGATTTAACAAAGATCTATATTGTTACAGATACGTACATATACGTTCATTAAAATATTCTCAGGAAAATAATAAAAACAAGAATTATACAATATCTGTGTATACAACAATCATTCAACTCAAATTTAATATATCGATATCAATAAAAAAGTATTTGCTATGATTTACATTCTGTATTTTAAATTAACAAGAAACCAGCTTTCATAGCTTATATATCAATGAATTTTGAAGCTATCTTGATTATTTAATAGTCAAAAGAAAGCTTAATATCTAAGTTTTCTTTTGAATATTACCTCAAAATTTATCGAGATAATGATTTTAACCTAACGCAATTTTGATTTTTCACAATTAATAATATTAATTACATTAATGAACGATTGAAAATCACAAACGTAGATAAATTGAAAGTTTTAAATTTAGTGATTTGGCATTCAAAATTTACATGTTATTAGTTGCTTCTTTGTTAGAATTAAGAAAATTGGCAATTTTTAACGATATAATAATAGCATTGGCATTTTTTTATTCTGATACTTAGCAATTATGAACCAGCATTCATAATTCTGGTTAACATAATGGGGTGAATATAGATGTATTTTGCAAATAAAATAGTAAGAGTCTTTTTTTTAATTAAAGTTGTAGTCTATAACGAATATTTAAAGAACTAATTTTCTATATGTGTTTATTAACAAAAAGGTTAATAAATCTTCATAGAATATGAAATTTGAATAACAAAAAATTGTATTTTTTATTTTTATGAATAACACTGGTTATACGCTGCTATTGGTATGTGTGATCATTTAGCTTTCAATTTGTTGATCGGTAAATAACTATAGATTTAAATATTGTATCCACCTTTCTTCATTCGACGGCTAATCATAAAGTATAATAAGTGTTATTAAAAGATAATTTGTTATATTAGGTTTAGAAAAATAGTATACTCACTGGTGTTTGCATAGGAGATAGCATTAATTATCTAAACATTTATCTATAAATATCCCATTGATGTTTCTCTACAAGACCATGTTGACGTTTGTCAAAATACACTGACGTTTCTCCACAAGACTATATTGACGTTTGTTATAATCAATCCAGTATTGAGGAGTAGGTGCAGCAAGAGTATACATATTGATCATTGAAATTAGAACTAAACTGATAA